GTGAGAGTAAAATGAAAAAATGAAGAGCTCTTATGTGTGTGTTATACACTAGCACACAGACATGTGTGTGTGCACACACAGATAAGAAAAAAGACTGAAAGAGGGGCTGGCCGAGTGGCTCGTTGATTGAGTTGGCTTGGGAGTGCGAGCTCTGAGCAGGAGGGCCGCTGGTTCGGATCTCACATGGGCCAGTGACGCCGCGCCCTCTACAGCTAAGATGGTGAACAACAGCTCGACCTGAAGCTGGGGGGCTGTGAGTCGCCAGTGAAGGCGTAGGCTGCAGTGGGGCTGCAGTGGGCTGCTGTGTTACCGTGAGTGGCTGTCAGCCAGAGTGAGGGGCTGGCAGCCGGCATGAGCTGCCGTGATCCACTGTGAGCGGCTGTCCAATGGCTGGCAACCAAACTGCCTCAGCCCAGAAGAGCGCAATGATCACAATACCACCATGGGCCAATGAAGCGATGTCCTCCACAACTAGACTGAACAACAAAAGGACAGCAACTTGTCTGTTCCCCTTCCCTGATTCCCCCAACACTGTTCCCTCCCCCAATTCCCCAATAAAATCTTTTTTAAAAAATAAGAAAGAAAAACGACTGAAAGAATATTCCTGCAGGATGGAATTAAGGCAATTTCTATTTGCTTCTCTATACTTTTATCACCATCTTCACTAATTTTCTATTAAGAACCTATGTTTGTTTTATAACTAGAAATTACTTTTTGTTTGTTTGTTTGTTTGTTTTTGTTTGATTTGGTTTGGTTTGGTTCGGTTTGATTTAAAGGTAATATAAGATTAGCCACAGAAGAAAGGAATCAGGGAGGAAATGTATAAGTGTATGTCTATGACCCCCAATCCCATAAGAGGTAAGCTGAAAGTCACCTCGAAGAGGCAGGCCTGGTCTGTCACTGAGAAGAGATGCATTCAGTGGCCACCATCAAGTTCTAGAGTCGCTCTCCCCAGGCTAGTATAGGAAACAGTGCACAGTAATCCTGTCTTTTGCTTCCAGGGATCTCAAGCCCCAATGAGTCTCTCTTAGACACACTATAATGAAACTTTCCCCAATTCCCCCAAACCACTTTCTTTCAGGGAATTCAGTAAGATAGAGCAAAGCCTAGCAGTTTCGGACAGGATCTAAAGTCTCAGACCTGGGGTAGAACTCCTTCACTTATAGCTGAGGAAACTGGGGATCAAAAATTACCTCAGTTTTCTTGTCTGTAAAATACTGTTAATAAAAGCATCCAATTTAGAGTTACTGTGAGGAATACTTGACTTTATCTCGGTAAAGAGCACCTACAAATAGAAAGTACTTAATAAATGATTAATTCTAGTACATTGCCTGATATTGGGTATGCAATGTGGTATAGAATTGTAAATTAAAGAATGAAAGAATGAATGTGGATATTCAAGAAATATAATTAGGTAGAAAAGAAGTTTTAGAATAACATATAGAGTAGGATTCCCTTTTTTTTTAAGATTTTTTATTGGGGAATTGGGGGATGGGAACAGCGCTGGGGAATTGGGGGAAAGGGAACAGACAAGTTGCTGTCATTTTGTTCTTCAGTCTAGTTGTGGAGGACGTTATTTCACTGGCCCAGGTTGGCACCATTATTGCGCTCTTCCCGGGCGAGGCAGATCAGTCGCCAGCTTCTGGATGGCCGCTCACGCTGGCTGCTGGCCACACACGGTAGCCCATGGCAGCCCACTGAAGCAGGGGCTGCAGCCTACGCCGTCGCAGGCATCTCACAGCAGCCCAGCTCCAGGTTGAGCTGTTGTTCAGCATCTTAGCTGTAGAGGGCAGTGTCACTGGCCCTCATACGTGGGATCCGAACCGGGGCCCTGTGGCGTCCCAAGCCAGCTCCCAGTCAACGCGCCACTCGGCCGGCCCAGGGTTCCCTTTTTATAAATATGTATACCTATATGTGTATATAACATCATCTGGAAGGATATTTTTTCAGGTGAGGAATGAGGTGGCCATTTGTAGAAATGACTCAGGAGGCTATATTTTATACCCAGTTGCAGTAAGTAGGGTGTTACCTTAGGGAGACAAAACTGGATGGTAAATGTCACTAAGAAAACTTCAACCTAATCCATTATGTTACATTAAGCAAAGGGGATTCATTCATTTTCTTAGACCATTGTGAAAGCAATGAAAATGGAGAAAGATGAAAAGAATCTGGAAGCATTTCACAAATAAAGCCCATAGGACTTGCTAACTGATTAAATACAGTGGTGAACAAAAAAGAGGCATCAATGATGCTTTGGTTTTTGGCTAGAAAGAGAAAAGCATCTTCTGACAGCTGAAATCAGACTGGTACCTGGTTGGACTTGGTTTTTTTCTGTTAAACAATTTCACAGAATGTCAACACTAAACAAGGACCAAGATGTGACTTCAATGGATCAAGATAAAGCAAGACTACTTCATAATCATGTCTGAACGTAGACAAAAATGAACATTGTCCAAACCATAAAAATGACCAAACATCCCCTATCCTGGCTAATATTAGGTTGATGCAAATGTAATTGCAGTTTTGGACCTTGAATTTTAAATCATTATAACTAGGCTCAAACACATCTTTATTAATCAAAATAGGAACAATTACAATCAACACATTTTTGCCAACGAGAAATAAGTTTGTTTATTTCTGTAGCATAAAAATCCGTGCTTCGGGATTTGCAAACTCTTGGAAAGCATTTTCTGCATCCTGCTGGTTGTGGAAATGTTTTCCCAGCAAAAAGTTGTCGAGATGCTTGAAGAAGTGGTAGTTGGTTGGTGAGAGGTCAGGTGAATATGGTGGATGAGGCAAAACTTCGTAGGCCAATTCGTTTAACTTTTGAAGCATTGGTTGCACAACGTGAGGTTGGGCATTGTCATGGAGAAGAATTGGGCCCTTTCTGTTGACCAATGCTGGCTGCAGGCATTGCAGTTTTCGGTGCATCTCATTGATTTGCTGAGCATACCTCTCAGATGTAATGGTTTTGCCGGGATTTAGAAAGCTGTAGTGGGTCAGACTGGCAGCAGACCACCAACCAGTAACCATGACCTTTTTTTGGTGCAAGTTTGGCTTTGGGAAGTGCTTTGGAGATTCTTCAGTCCAACCACTGACCTGGTCTTTGCCGTTGTTGTATACAATCCACTTTTCGTCACACATCACAATCTGATTGAGAAATGGTTTGTTTTTGGTGCACAGAATAAGAGAAGACAACACTTCAAAACAATGATTTTTTTGATTTGCGGTCAGCTCATGATGCACACATTTATCGAACTTTTTCCCTTTTCCATTTTGCTTCAAATGCCGAATGACCGTAGAATGGTCGACGTTCAGTTCTTCGGCAACTTCTCATGTAGTTGTAAGAGGGTCACCTTCATTGCTTTCAATTGATCGTTGTCAATTTCTGATGGCCGGCCCCTACGCTCCTCATCTTCAAGGCTCTTGTCACCTTTGCAAAACTTTTTAATTTTTTAAAAAGATTTTATTGGGGAATTGGGGGAGGGGAACTGCGTTGGGAATCAGGGAAGGGGAACAGACAAGTTGCTGTCCTTTTGTTCTTCAGTCTAGTTGTGGAGGACGTCGTTTCATTGGCCCATGTTGGTACTGTGATCATTGTGCTATTCCTGGGTTGAGGCAGTCAGCTCACCGGCCATTGGACAGCCACTCACGGCGGTGCAAAACTTCTTGAACAACCATCACACTGTGCGTTCGTTAGCAGTTCCTGGGCCAAATGCATTATTAATGTTGCGAGTTGTCTCCACTGCTTTAGGACCCATTTGTAGCTCAAATAAGAAAATCGCTCAAGGGGGCGGCTGGTTAGCTCAGTTGGTTAGAGCGCAGTGCTCATAACACCAAGGTTGCCGGGTTCATTCCTACATAGGCCACTGAGATGCGCCCTCCACAACTAGATTGAAACAACTACTTGACTTGGAGCTGATGAGACCTGGAAAAACACACTGTTCCCAATAAAATTTTTAAAAAGAGGAAGAAAATCGCTCGAATTTGCTTTTTGTCTAACATCATTTCCATAGTCTAAAATACATATAAAATAAGCAGCAAGTAATAAGTCATTAGCAAAAAACATAAAGCAAGAAATGAGCATTAAAATGATGTATAACATAACCACATTTATTTAAGAATGTATTCCAATATCAAAAGCAAATTTCAACAATGCAAAAATTGCCATTACGTTTGCACCAACCTAATACCAAGATATTCATTCCTCCCACCTTCTAGAAAAGATTAACTATGATACCCAATCATAGAATTATCCCTGCTTACTGACAGTATTAATTCCAGAGCAAAGCTCTGCTTCTTTGAACCTTCCCCCAAATCACCTGACAGCCCAAATTATTAAACACCGCTTTACTAAGACTAAGCTTTTTCAAATACCTCCTTACTAAGACACTACCTCGCTGCAAGGAGTCAATAAAACACACCTTTGTTCAATAATAGATTTTTATAGATCTGTATAGGTCTTTGACTGAGGGGCATTGACGTTGGCACAAGCAACTCGGAATGGATGATGGTACTATTACCTGAGATGGGAAAAATGAGACATGCTCTTTTGGAATCGACAAGCTCTGCTAGCCCCTCTGGCAAGCCTGTGTCTCTGGATGCGCCCCCNAGAAGCTGAAAGGCTTCTCAAAAGTTCTCTGAGGTATTTACTGATTTTCCATTCCGTTCCCTCTAAGGCATTACCAACTTCATTTATATTAAAACATAGAAGGAATTAATAGCTGATATTTAATGAATCTGTATTATGTGCCAAGCAGTGTTCTAAGGGCGGTAGATATTTAATTCATTTACTTCTCCCATCGACCTCATGAAGAAACGTAGTATTATTATCGGATTTTACTACAGAGGATTCGAACTTGGGATATATTCAAGGCCCGATAGAGTCATCGTCAAGCTTTAGCTGACTAAACTAAGCCGAGGCAGCCATCTAGTTTGTAGTCTGTAAGGACTGCCACTCCCGGCATTCCTTGCGGCAGCTGCTCTCCACACACAACAAATCCCGGCGTGCCCCTGGGCGGCCCGGAGTGGAGGGTTCTAGAAGGCGTGACGTGAGGTCAAGAGCGGGCTCAGAGGTGGGCGCCTCAGCAGTCGCTGTGGCCGCCGCTGCCTGGCCTGGGGACGTGGGAGGCCGGGGACGCGGGCGCAAACTCCTCGTTTCCCCGGCCATGGCCGCGCTCGGCCGGCCCTTCAGCGGCCTCCCCCTGAGCGGAGGCTCGGACTTACTGCAGCCGCCGCCGGCCTTACCCGGTCGGGCCTTCCCGCCGGGGACGGGCGGCGCCGAGCTGGCCCCGCGGCTGGAAGCCCGCTCCGCCCAGAGCAGCCCCGACGGGAGCGCGGCTCGCGGACGGTGAGGAGCCGAGCGGACGCGAGGCGGGCGGGAGGGCCGGGCGGACGGACGCGGGAAGCTTCTCAACCCCAGTCTACAGATGAGGAAACTGATCCCCAGAGACCTTAACTGAAAGTCGCTGGAGGTCGCACAGCCCGGGAGTCCGGTTCGGACCTCGGCCCTCCTGCGCCTCCTGGAAGTGAGGAGACTTAGCTCGTCCAGTGGGATCGATCGCGGGCCGGGCCGCCTGGAGCCTGGATGTCCTCCGCGCATACACGCCTCGCTCCCCTAGCGGGCACGGCGCGACCGCTGATGGGAACAACTTGAAGTGCTTGTCGGACACTCAGCTTCCTTACCCGCAAAGTGGGACAGAAATGGGTTCTTCTAGAGATCTTGGAAATAAAGTGGGTTAGCACAGTGCCTCCCCCCCCGAAAACGTTTTCCGTGCGTGAGCCTCCCCAGATTGATCTCCCGTTACCGTGACAGGACGAGAAGTTTAGATTTCAATCTCTGGTTAGGTCATGACCACCCAACATTTACCTGACTGACCCTGTGACCTGTATATCCATCCCAGTCGGCAAGGAAAGGGACCGCTGGGTGGGTGGGTACCTGTAGGGTGGGCAAGCTTATTGGAGCATGAAAGCGTGGACGCTGAAAGCACAAGCTCAGTCTCCATTGACTAACTTCTCTTTTGTTTGTTTCAACAGTGTTTCAGTTTCCTGTAAAAAGAAACACAAGCTAGAGCAGGAGGATGATGAGTAAGTCTCAGGTGCCATTTATTCACTTTATGGTCACTTAATTTAACCTATTTTATATCCTCAACTACTTGTTTTAAGTGCAAAGATGAGACATTAGGTGTCTGAAAGGAGGCATGAGGAACTGATAACATTGGTTATCTTTTAGAGAAAGAAACTGGGCGGCTGGCAGGTCAGTTTGGAAACTTCACTCTATAACCGATTGTAAAGTTTGAATGTTGAGCCAGGTGAATATTATTACATGTACAAAGCAAAAGAATTCCAAATGTGTACAAGAATATACGTATATTGAAAAGTCTTACACTCCATGCTCACAGCTCTTCCCAGAGGCAACTTGTTACCTGTTTCCTAGTTCTTCTGTGGAAGATCATTTAAAAACTTACAAGCTTATAATTGTATATACCTCTGGTTTTTTACATTTGTAAGAACATACTCTTCACACTGCAATATATTGATCTTTTCATTTTACTTTCCTGTAGCTTGTTGCATATAGGCACATAGATTTCTACGTAATTTCTTTTTCAACCATGGAACTGAATTCTGTTGTAAGGCTTAGTTAATTAACCAGTCTCCTGTTGATGGATTTCTAAGCTATTTCTAATCTTTTGCTATTACTAACAAATCTACCATGACCATTGTTTTTAAGTTCTTTGTATATATTTGCAAATAGGTGAATGGATTCCTTAAAATGGATGGATTTTGTACAATGTATGCAAGAGCTGTTGCCTTTCAACAGTGGGAGTGCCTCTTTTTCCATCTTCTCACCAGAACTGTATTTTCAAACTTTAGACTTAATTGATAGGTAAAAAATTGCATCTCATAGAGAGGCAGTCTGTGAAAACAATGAGTGAAAAATTCCACAAAGAGAATATCCAGTTGACCAGCCAAATATAAAGATGTTCCACCTCATCACTCTTTAGGGAAGTGGACATTAAAGCCACAATGGGATACTTACTCTCTCCTGGTAGATATTGGATCGGTAATGGAGCACCAGGAACTCTCAAATATTATGAATGAAAATGTAAATTGGTACAAGCACTTTGGGAAACAGTTTGGCATTATCTAATAAGTTGAAAGCACACGTACCCTGTAACCCACCAGTTCCCCTCTTGAGTATGTGCATGCACATATCAGGAGATGCATACAAGAAAGTTCATAGCGTCCTTGCTCATAATAGATCAAAACTGGAAACAATCCAAATGTCCCTTAATGGTAAAATGTATATAATATAATTCCCTAACCAGAAGGTTCAAAACCATGCAAAGCTAAACATTGTTTAGGGATGCATATTTGCATGTGTGATCATGTATTCTTTTTAAAAAGGAAGTAATACTGTTTACCTGTAGGGAAGAGGGAACAAAGGACCGTTTTGGGATGGTGACAACATATCTTGAAGCAGCGGTTCTCAACCTTCCTAATGCTGCGGCCCCTTAATACAGTTCCTCATGTTGTGGTGACCCCCAACCATAAAATTATTCTCGTTGCTACTCTATAACTGTAATTTTGCTACTGTTATGAATCGTAATGTAAATATCTTTTTGTTTTCCGATGGTCTTAGGCGACCCCTGTGAAAGGGTCATTCGACCCCCCAAAGGGGTCGCGACCCACAGGTTGAGAAACACTTGCTGTAGAAGGTTATTTTCTTGGATGTTTGTTTTGCAATTATTCATTAAATTGTATGTTTGTATTTTTATGAGCATATGATTTTATAGTTAAGGAATTAGATCACTAATTTGTATTTTGCAAATTGTGTTGAACATATTTTCATTTAAGTCATATGTGTTTAATTTTTGTGAATTGTTGATGTTTCTGCAAGTTTTTTGTTGGCTTACTGGTCTTTTTCTTATTTATAAGAAATGTTTGTTAAAGAAGTCATCAGTTTATTATGTGTGTTTCCCCCAAATTTGTCATTTGTCTTTTGACTTTATGTATGATTTATTTACTTGGTTAGCAGAAACTTTGGATTTTCTAATCTTGTTGCTAGATAGATTAATAAGACAGTAGATTTGAAAGTTGCCTAAGTTTTAAAAACCACTTGTCCATACAACATTTATATTCTTTACTGCCTTGGGATTGCTGTGGATACACAGAGACCTCTTTGCTTTTATCTTTTGGAGTTCCCTATAAGAGAGTATGTATTGAATACAGTGTTCCAATGTTAAAAATAAAAAGTTTAAAGTGTAAAAACTATTGGCTTAAAAAGTTAATCACCTTTAATGTACAGATAGAGAGATTGAGGCCCTGGGAGGATGATTGATTCGACATTTGGATGTCTAATGCCCAGAAGCCTGCTGCCCAGACTGCTGCCACTTTCATAGCTCATATCAGTACTCTGAAGTTTTTTATAACACATTTTCTTTGGGACTTAATCATTGATCTCAATTATTTGCAAAATAGATCTACATGCCTGAAATAATTTAGTCCAAATCATGCTGGTGGTCAGAGATCAGAATCCAGCTCTTATACTCAGTTGCATTTAATAGTTGAATTGTTAGATGTGGTAGGAAATTACCTGTTTCCTCTAGATTTATTTTGCTTTTCTTAGCTAGTTTCTTATGTGTTTTAACTTTTTCTTCTGCTTTCCAAAACATCACATACTTTAAAACTATCCAGGTATTACAGAAATATTTCATGTATAGCAAGACATTCTTCATACTTTCTTATGAATTAAAACTATAAACTAAACATGTTATGTAATAGTTGATGCCAATCAAAAATCTGGGTTCTGGGGCCAGCCGAGTGGCTCAGTTGGTTAAGAGCTCACTCAAGAGTGTGAGCTCTGAGCAACTAGCGGTTCGATTCCCGGCCTGAGCTGAGCTGCCACTGAACTGCCAACAGGTGGCAGGATGGCTCAGCTAAAAAAAATCTGGGTTCAACAGAGCATTATTACTTGTTGGATTTCATATTACCAGAGACTTTAATGTTAATTTTCACATGCAATAGAAACTTCTTATAAACTCTGTGCTGCTTTCTTTGACCTTCAACTTAGAGAATGAGAAGCTGTGTTAGCCATTAAAAAAAAAAGTAATTTTTTTGGTTGCAGAGCTGTGTTGTGGTCTTGAAATTGCACTTGCTGATGCCCAGGCAATAAAGTACTTTTGGTCTAAATACTTATATTGAACAGTGCCAGTTGCCTGTTTAACTTGCTTGAGGCAGCTTTCAACTAAATTGGGCATATCATACTGTTTGCAAATACTAGTGCATGGTAAGAGTTTGAATAGTTGAACTTTCCTAAGGAGGCTGGAGGTTTTAGTGAGAATGGCACATGTAACTATCTTACATGACACTTGGGACCCAGGGGGCACTTTAGTTTTTCTAGGTCCTAGTTTCCAAATCTGCAAAACAAAGAAATTGGATTTGATGAACTCTGATGTCTCTATGAAATATAAATTTTCCTAGGAAGAGAAGATAGTTTTTGTTGCAAGGTGGGAGAATAGTGCACCCCATTAGTCAGGAACTCATGGAGCCAAATACAGTGTGATATTTTGGAGAGGACCAAGAAATCAGCAATATCATCAGCACCTGTAGTAGTTGGAACAGAACTGATGAGGCATATATTTTTGCCATAAGGGAATATAGGATGCCTGCAGACCACCTTCCCATATGACCAGTTTGATGTAACAGCAGCAGTATGACAAAATATGGCTGGCAGTGAACTGCTGCTTTGTGATTTTGGTTTCCTTAACTCCCACTTTACCCATCCAGGGCCAAATAAATAGTAACTTGAAGTTCCCACATTGAATACTTCTAATCTGAAAAGGCAAAATCTTGCAGGTACAGCCTAGTTTGGCAGAGAGCAGTAGAAAAAAAAGAGGCTGTGAGAATGACAAAAAAGAAAATGCATGATTTTCCGTCTGGTAATTACATACTGTCAAAAATTACTAGTTTTTTCATTAAGAATTTGATTAGAGATAAGGATGATATACATTTCATTTATACTAGGATTTTCATTGAAAAATTTTTTTTCCAGTTGTCCAGTAAGAAAGAAAAGGCTAACTGAAGCAGGGCTCTGTGCTGGTCCTAATGACTGGATTCTTTGTGCACATCAGGATATAGAGGGTCATGGAGTAAATCCATGCACTAGTGGCCTTTCTGCACCTGGCATGTTAGATGTTATTTGTGAAGAAATGGATCAGACAACTGGAGAACCGCAGTTTGAAGTTGCCAGGAGAAGGCTTCAGGAAATTGAGGACAGGTAAATGGGCAGCATATATACTTTGGTTGTTGTTCTTCCTATCTATGTCTTTACTCTTGTAAGCAAGTCTGATTCCTCATTTGATGATACCTTGATCCTCAACTTCTCAGAAAGACCATAAAAATCAGGGAACTCAAAATCTGCACATTAAATGTTAAAGTAAGCTCTTCTCATAGAACTGTGCAGAATACTTTCATTTATTGGGTTGTCGGAAAAGTCATGATGCATTTTTGCAACGAAAAACGTAGAAAAAATACGTCATGACTTTTCCAACAACCCAATATTATCTCTGAATATTGATTTTTGGTGTATGGGAGTTTTCAGGGACACATCCTTCAAATTTGATTGTGTCCAATGTAAAACTTGATTAAATAAAATGTTGAATAACTCTTGTGTATATAGTTTTTTTCACTCATGTATAGTCTCATATTTTACTTGACCTTTTGCTGTAGCACCTGTTGCTTTTGTTTTCTGTTATTCTTTAAGTTTTGTCCAATTAGTAGTAGACTATGTAATAGCTTGACTAAATAATTTTTCTTTCTCTGTTTTTGCTGCCTTTAGGATAATTGACGAAGATGAAGAAGTTGAAGCTGACAGAAATATTAACCATCTCCCCAGTCTTATCCTTTCTGACACCATGAAAACAGGTTTGAAGAGGGAATTTGATGAAGTCTTTACGAAGAAAATGATTGAATCCATGTAAGTTTTGGTTCCTGATTTCCATTTAATTATGATCTTGGAGGGAAAACTTAGTGTCTCTAGACACTCCCTGTCCTATCCTAGCCCTCTCTTCATCTCCTGAGCACCAGCCAAGTGAAAGCATAGTAGGATTTGTATTTAACCCAGGTGAGAGACAGACATTTTCTTAGTTCATTGAGGTGAGCAAAATGCTGTACAGCATGAGTTTGAAGTACGCAGGAGTGGCTGCCTTGCTTACTTATCCCTGGATTTTTTTGAAGTCTTGAAATGCACTATACTCTATTTGGGAACGAGAGAGCTCATTCTCTTAAATTCTTGTGATAGAATATAGAAACCACAATTAAAAACCTCTTGTTTATATGGCTTTCTTAGTTATCCAGGAACACCATTGAAACCTAGGAAACAAACAAAAAATGTCTCCCAGCAGTCAAATCAAAGCTCATACACTTGTCTCATAGCCCCTCAGGCCTTTAACTCTAAGAACCATTTTGCCCCTAATTTAGACACAGTTTAATGAACTCGCTTTTCTGGTTTCCTGGATCTTCAGAGTAGAAACACTAGTGAGAGCAGAACAAACTTGGCCTAGTGAGTGAAAGTATAGTTAGAGGAGAAGAGAGGAAACTGGAAAGCAAACACAGCCTGAGCCTCATTAACGTAAGAACTAATGATAGCCCTGTAATTCTTATAGTCCTTGAGCTTGGATGATCTCAAATCCTCATTATCAGCTGTAGGCAAGTTATAAAATACCATCTAGGTGTTACCTAGAAAATACTTCAGATAGACTTGATATGTAGTGAGGGTACATGTCTGATATCTGAAAAATTCTCTTAGGACAGCAGTCCCAGTAATGCTAGGTAGATGAGGCATTATTGGCTTTGGCCACAGTGGATTCAGCTGCTGCTTGATGTTTGATCACCGAGGTTTTGCCATCAGTTCTCTAGCTTAAGCTTATCATTAACTACCCAGCCCTTGGGGTAGATAAATAGTTTAGCCAAGAGCAAGAGGTCACATTGCCCTCCAGTCTAAAACATAGCACTTCTTGCTCTTGGTAGTTTTCTGGAAACTAGCCTTTGGGGGGTATTCTTGATTGTTTGTGTTTTATTTTGCCTTATTTGCCTTTGGGTCCCAGAAACCATCAAACCATTAGTGGATGGGGGAGGGCTGAGGGGACAGACACAGGCATTGAGGACATAATCATTTTGGCTTACTGCATAAAGCATTATACTTCATAGCAATACTAAGCAAAGGACATACTGAGATACTTTTAATGTGTTTGTCCAGTGTTTCATTTTCATTTATAATCGTTTAATACAAGATAGTGGCCCATATCTGCTAATATTAACCACAATTTTTAAAAAGTTACAATATTAAATCAAGGGCCTCTATTTTTCACATTGGGTGTTTATATTACTCCTAATCACAGCATCAGTACAACTAGTTGGTTTGGTTGAAATACAGGCAGAACTGTGAAATTTTATGTACTTGAGTGGCCTTTCCAAAGATCAGTTTGGATTGTCATAAATCTCCTATTTTGATGCCATCAGTTCCTAACTCTACATATTAGGTAGCATACATTAGCTTTTCAACATACATTTTTAAATTTCATGTCCTAAAGTTTTTGATAAAAATTTGTCTTTTATGTCTTAGGAGCCGTCCTTCCATGGAGCTTGTGCTCTGGAAACCTCTCCCTGAACTCCTTTCTGATAAGCCAAAGCCGTCATCTAATGCTAAGAACTACACAGGAGAGAGCCAAACTAAGCATACCACTGCTGGCACTGCCTTCCCTAGCAGAACTGAACTGTTCTTGGAACCTCGGCGAACAGGGATGCCTATTTACACTAGTTTGGAGACAGCTGCTTGCACAGAAGAGGAGATGGAACTCTAGAAACTTGTTTCTATACTAAAGTTGTCAAATTTTAGAAGGCTCATGTTTGGTCGTGAGCCTACGTATATAGTATAGGGACTTGTAAGTTTTATGAAACGGGTGTAATAATAATATCTCCACCTGTGATTTGGGGTGGGACTCTCATTTTGGGTAGCCATTTCTTGAATTCATCTTTTTGCCAAGGAAGCTTGTCTCAAGGGAAAGCTGTTTTCTAGAGGGATTATTAATGTGAGGTGACAGTCTGCAAAGGCAAGTATAGAAGCTTTATGTATAAGGGTGACTTAAGTCATCTGTTACATTGTCTAAACCATTCATATACTTGGAGAATACTCAGACACTTGAATTGGAAAAGATGTATTAAGAAAGGATACTCCTACTGCAACTGTACCCTGAGTCACAACTTCATCTGTAAATATGAGCTCTGTTTACAGTGGTGACTATTTACGATTGGGGAGAAGGAGGGAAGAAAGCAGTAGCTTAAGCCTATTCCTAAGAAATTTAATAGAGGCTCTGAAACTTGGATGTTAGTTGTCAATTCAATGTAGCTATGTAGCATTGTGGCTCACCTCTTTGCCTCTAATGTGATGAAAATACAAAGAAAATGCAAAAAAGGTTTTTCCTTTGAGGCTTTTTTGCCTTGTGCTACTGTTGCTCCTTGGTTTCCCTTGCATATGAGTAATTGATAAGCCCAGTTATTCAGTAATGTTTACAACTTAATTAACTTTGATAATTTAAAAGATTTAAAAGAGGTAACCCATGTGCAAATTGGCTATGGGAGAAGCATCCCTTAGGTCATCCCAAGGAAGTGGTGTGTCAGCTAAGCCCAGTGGTGATAACTTCTGTAGTTACAAGGTTGTACCTGTATTAGCAAGTTGAGTTTTTAATGTTAGTTTAGGAAACAATGACTGAATAATTAACTGAGAACACATGGGCAGATGTCGAGATTGACTGAAATAGCCAATTTGCCTGGTGCTTCTACTATTGTGCAGTAGCCTAAAAGTTAGTAGAGGATAGCTTCCTGCTAGCAGGAAATCATCTTGAGGACCTAAACCGGCTCAAGGTGTCCTTTGGGGTAACCAGGATTGAAGGTTTTATTTCTCAGGAAGAATTCTTCTGTGTGGCAAGGACTCAGTAGTGCAAAGTAAAATGACAATTTCTTTAGTGCTACAGAATATTCACTATAACTTATTAAATGAGTGTAATAGTGTATACTGGCCTTTTCATCACAACAGGATACCACCCCAGTTCTTTTTGTTTTCGGGTTTTTTCCACCTTTGTAGGACTCTGGTATTTTGTGTAGGAAAAAAACCAGTGGTTTATGCCACAGAGGTAACTTTAGAAACCAGCTCCCAGGCATTTTTGAAACCCATCCCCATTACAAATGGCGTAGAAGTCACAAGTCTGTTAATTAGACTGTTTCTTCTCTTGCATTTTGTTCCTGCTTTCTCTATTTCTGTCTGGATAGTCAGGCAAAGATTTAATGTTTAATATTTAAACAAAATATTTAATATCTACACAGTAAAATTATTCAAACTTCAAACCAGTATTGAAACCAGTTGGAAACCAGCTAATAGTTTCTTAATCTCAGATTTAGAGATGAATGTAAACTGTATTCTGTTGAAATCTGCAAGTGTTTGATTCATGCCATTTGAAAAGCTCCTGCCTTTAGATCATTTTTAATGGGACCAACTTGCGAAGTTTGTAGCCTTAAAGAAATCTCCGTGCTAAAATATTTGTTCTAGTACAACTTAAAAACATGAAGTGACTGCCCAGAATTTGGAATTAGTCCCAGTGTTAGGGTGAAACGGGAGGTGACAGCTTTCCCAAGAAGGACCCAAACACACTGATTGTCTTCTATAGGAATTGTTGGGCAGGCTTCTGATTAAAGGTCTGTACAATGAAAAGGAGGAAAGATTTCCACCACTACCCGCCCCCCCCAACAAGGCTCTGATACCATTGGTAAATATAGGAGACAATTAAGATTCTGTTAATTAAAATCCAAACAACTTGTTTCAGGAGTCATGACAATTATTCTGCAGGAAAATGGATGTTTAAGGCTCCTTTTTAAACTTCTTGCATATGTTTGTGTACAAACTGTCTTCATCCTTGTGGTGCTTATTCATATGAGCCGACTCCACAGTCCCCATGCCTCTGCTTTGTTTTTTTCTTTTGTAGCATAAGGGTTTTGCTTTTGCCTTAAGGTTTTCCTAGAGGAATAACAGGTCTTTTCATTTTGTACAGCTTTTGCAGCATGGATCAAACATTGGCTTTCTATACAGATGTGTGAAAAGAAAAAATTATCTAAAGCAGGTGAGCTTTAATGAACAAATGTATATTTTCTCTGAGTTTGAGTAGGGTGTGTTTGGGGTTTTTTTTGCGTTTTGTTTTTTTTATTAAAATAAAGTCAGTCCAGTTCTCACAAATATTAGTCAAATTAAAAAAAATGACTCATTCTTGAAAAGGTGCAAATGTAAAATTTAGAAAAATAACAAACCATGAGAAGAATGTTTACCAATAAGTTCAGTAATGATTTTGGATCTGGAACTTGGTTTTCTTTTTTAATAGTGATAAGAACAGTGCAGTACTAGGAAAGTTCTGGGAAAAACTGTCAATTTTACTAAATGAGAATCTGGTGTTTCTGTATTTTATTGTTTTCAATTAAACTTCATAAGTGTTTTGGACTTTTTGAGATATTTGTATTCCTGTACTTAAGTAAATGAAATGGCTACTTTACCTTCCTCTAAATTGTATTTGAAACAGCATTCATATCAGTGAGGGGCTTAAATTTTATTCTGAAGAGGTGATTATGTTGGGTTAAAGGTAAATTTCATAAATGAATTGCTGTTTCCAAAACAGGCAGATGGTGTTTTGCCATTCTAAAACCCACAGAATGCTTTCCACTCTACTTAGCAATTCACTGCTGTTGTCAATCAACAGCATTGATTGGCAATGGTGATTACCAGTATTCAGATGGCAGTGGCAACTGAATCTTCAAAAACGTTCAAATATGGAGACGAAAATGGTATATATAATTTACAGTTGTTGTTCTTATAGGTTTGGGACCTTTAAAAATAAGGAATAGGAAAATTGCATGCTGTTCAGTTACATAGTCCTTACTTTCTTAAGAGTTGACAGATCACTGGGTGGCAGTATTGCCTACATATTTACAACTGTTGTTAATAAATGTGTATCCCTGATTTGTGGACAGGCAGAGTTAGGTTTGGGTCGCAGTTACAGAAAACTCAGGATATTTTTTTCACCAAAATTTGGAAATCACAGCTAAGTTATCTAATTTCTTTATTTTACTGGTTTGGAAACTAAAACCTTAGTAGACAGTGACAAGTTAGTATTATAATCCAACTCACCAGGTCCAGTGTTCCTACTTGACCAGTGGTTTTAGTTTTTTTGCAGCAATACCTAAAATGTCATTTAGATTTCATTGAAATGTACAATAAAGTGTGGTTCAGGCAGTATAACATTAAATTCCTTGAGGGAATAGAGTTTTGTGTATATCAGTTTGGTTCAAATATTCTACCAGTAGCATTTTAGAGTTGAACTGTATGCAGTTAGAATATAGTGTTAGACTCAGCTCCAACAAGATGATGATGGTGTCTTTGAACAACTGATTAATGGGTAAACAAGCCAGTCTTCCTGTCCCTTAATGAATATTAGAAGTCATGGTAAAGATTTAGTTCTTAGGAGATTAGAATTTAACTGATGCCATAAAATATTCCTGGAGTAGGCAGTATTACCTTCTGCCTACAGTTCTGTGCCTACTTTATGTCTGCTCCAGTAGTATACATAGAAAAGCAAGGAAATACATAGATTGGTGTTACAAAGCCCAGGGAAATGGCGTGCAGGCATCTGTCACCTGATTCTTTTCATCTCGATTATGGATAACCCTCTACATTTAATAGAAATCATGTTTTGGAGGAAAAGGTCTTGATTTTTATTTCTAACCATTCAATTTAGTGTTTCAGTATGAAGACATCCTTATTTACCAGGTGTTTTCTCAAGGCTGAGGAAAGTGTTTAGTAATCTTCACCCATTTGTGTAGGAAATGAAAACCCTGATAAATCTACACAGGTTATGTGTGTCCTGTGTGTTATTCCTGTTAGTACAGCTGCCTTTCATTGATGTCATTGAATGTAAATTACTTGAGCCTCAATCTCCAGATGCTTGTACTATTATGGAGGCTTAAAATGCATCTGTAGTTACATCTGCCTACAAAATCCCTAAATAGATTACCAGCACTTAAGTTTTCAGTTCTAGAAAATCAGGTGATCAGGTTTTCAAATCACGGGGACAGCTGGAGACTGTCCTTATATTTACGATACAGAAACTAAAGAACCTAAGCAAGCTTGCATGCCAGACGCTAGGATTTGGTTCTGACTTCAGTGACCAGGGATCTTGGGCTGTCTTGCTTTCAAGTATGTTTGTGGATACAGCTCCCATTACACCAAATGTTCCTTGTACTTGGTTCAAACTATGCCTGCTTTGCCTTGCTGCTTGGGACTCTGAATCCCACCTCCTTTTGTCTATTCATTCACTTTTACTTCCCCAGAGGTAGTCAAATATTGACGTAGAATGCTGGCATTGTGAAATAATGTCTGTAAAAGAGGGAAGTCCTTTCATATAAGCGGATTCCCAAGGAAGAGGTGCACCATGAAGGATGATGAGGTTATCAAGTCTCTAGTTTTGGGGTTGTATTAATGTCTCTAGGACTTTTCTCTGAATAGGTTCATTCTTTTGTGAAACAGGCTCTAAAGTATATGTAATTCTTTTAAGAGATCGAAACCCTTCCAGGGGCCAGCCGAGTGGCTCGGTTAAGAGTTGGCTAGGAGCACAAGCTATGAGCAGCAGGGTCACTGGTTTGGATCCCACATGGGTCAGTGACGCTTGGCCCTCCACATCTAAAAGATTGTGAACAACAGATTGACCTGGAGCTGGGCTGCCTTGAGTTGCCAGCGAAGGTGTAGGCTGCCGTGAGCTACCGTGACTGGCCGGCAGCCAGCGTGAGCGGCTGTCCAATGGCCGGCCACCGACCGCCTCAGCTGGGAAGAGCGCAATGATACCAACATGGGACAATGAAGTGACGTCCTCCACAACTAGACAGAAGAACAAAAGGACAGCAACTTGTCTGTTCCCCTTCCCCGATTCCCCAAAGCTGTTCCCCTCCTCCAATTCCCCAAAATCTAAAAAAAAACCCTTCTAAAGTGGATAAAGAGATAATAGCTAACTTTTGAGTGCTTGGGACATTGCCTGGCATATAGCAAGTGCTTATGATGCACCCTCTGAATCCTCGAGCAATTTTTTTCTTTTTTTAAAGATTTTATTGAGGAATTGGGAGAGGGGAACAGACAAGTTGCTGTCCTTTTGTTCTTCAGTCTAGTTGTGGAGGACCTTGCTTCACTGGCCCATGTTGGTATTATCATTGTGCTCTTCCCGGCTGAGGCAGTCGGTCGCTGGCCATTGGACGGCGGCTCATGGGAGCTCACAAAAAGCTCATGCCAGCTGCCAGCCAGCCCCACTGCAGCCTACGCAGTCGCCTCACGGCAGCCTAGCTCCAAGTCAAGCTGTTGTCCACCATCTTAGCTGTTGAGGGCGCAGCGTCACTGGCCTTCATGTGGGATCCGAACTGGGTCCCTGCTGCTCAGACCTGGCGTCCCAAGCCAACTGTTAACCAATGCGCCACTCGGCCAACCCAATTTTAGAAAATGCTCTTAATCCCTTTAATAAATGCAATAAAATCTTGATATTTAATGGTATGTCCTTCTCTCACATGAGATGGTATGGCAAAACTCTGCCACTCACTAGCTGTGATATTGGTCAGTTAGGCTGAAGAAACTCTCAGAAATACAGTACTGCTCAAAGAGTAGATATACACGGACACACACACGTATCACTTATGGCAGCCAGAAACTGAAGCATGCAGTAATTAAGGGGAAAAAACCTTCAGTCACCTTAAAAAGTGGCATGCTTTTTGGATAAATCACTACCACAGCAAACAGTGAAACACCTAGACAGAACACAAGACAAGGCCCAAGAAGGAATCAAAGAACAAAGACACTGCATTGCACTTTTTAATTGCACAGGTAGTTTTAAATAAATGGAGAAAGCACCTTCCAAAAGTTACACTAGCAGGGAAAGAGTCCATCAAGCATTTACATAGTAAATTTCTATAATTTTACAAAAAATTCTTGATCTTGACTTGAACTGTACATGAGGGAAAAGAAGCCCCCTCAAGTAGGTGTTCTCTCTGCTTGCAGAAGCAAACTAGACCTAAAATCAGGGGCAAGCCTGGGATGCTGAGAAGGAAGAGAAATGATAAAAAGGCCATTCATACATTCCATGTATAAGACACTTGTCCAATGTCCCTTACATAAATATTTTAGGGCAAACTACTGCCCTTAAGATAAAGGTACTTCAAAAGCTGTAACTGTAGCAATCTCTGAGTACCTTGGACTGCTAAGTGACAAAAGACAATACTTGAGGTGACCTGTGAGGTCTGAACAAATACTTCAGAGGAATTCTCTAGGATTGTGCGCCCTCTACTTTGGCTCTTTGAATGAAGCACAGGCTTCTCTGCTATCGTCCAGGCAGTGTAATGGTCAAGGAAAAGGGCAGTATTGGATCACTCCTTAGACACTAATCAGCTGGGGAAAGAGTTCATTGGCAAAAGTGTCCTCCCAAGAATGGTCTACACCAAGCAAAGAGGACATGTCACTGAAAGGGGAAGGGGAACCCTCATAACTACAGTCACTATAAGCATCCAGTAGGCAGGAAGATGGCTTCAGGCAGTGGCTGGATGAAAGTAGATCTGGGATACCCAACTCTGGAATGAAGTCATCTACAAGTTCTTCCTTTACTGAGACAGTGAATTCTGGGTGATCTTTCTCTGAGGGGCTGAAAGGTGCTTCCTCAATTTTCACTACCACATTAGCTTGACTCTCTGTCTCAGAGGGTATCTCTAAGACTAGGGGCTTGGTATATACGTGGTCGAAACGAATCAGTTCATTAATGGCTTCCAGCTTGGCTGATGACGTCCCCAGTGATGGAGAAGGGGAGGCCGGTAAGGAACTGGGTCCTTCTGGGTAGACCTCTGGGAGCTGCTCCAAGCTGGCAGACTCTGGGGAAGGGCATCTGAGGAACATGACTGGGTCCAAGTTGAACAGAATGCCCAACAGGATATCAGACTGCAAGAGGCAAAAAATTAAATGGGAGTCCAACTATTAGAATGCACCTGAGAATCTACCTAGAACACTTAGTATATGAGGTTTCCTAATGTAAATTAATCATTATGCTATAGGATGACCTCCAGGACCCACCACACCCATTTATCTACACTTCACTCCATGTTCTAAATCACACGGAAACAGGAAGGTAGTCTATGTTCACTTCTGACCCAACCCAAACTAACTTCTGCCCTCTTCTCTCTGGTTAGGGATGTCGGGCATCAAACAGATGGAATTAACTAGTTATACAGCTCTTTAGTAAATCCAAACAACCACTACCTCAGAGTCTGAAGAGTCAACACCGTCAGAATCCATGGGGAGATGTTCTGGAGGGGTGACAACTGGGCCTGCACCTGCTGCAGAGGTGCACGTAGTCTGAGTGCTGCGGACTCAGCAGACCCGGCCACCGGCCTCGCTCCATTCTCCTGGGGAGAAAAGACCAAAGTGAACAGCTCACACAGCTGAGAATCCCCAAGGAAATGCTTACCAGGCAGCTGTGAGTCTCAACTTGCAAGAAAATTAGAAAACTAACCTTGAGAGCTAAAATCTTTCCCTTACCTTTGTTTTCCATTTCTCGTGTTGTCCTCAAGAAAAGATGAAAAAAGGGAGATAAGACTAACTCTCCACTGTGATTTTCTATGCAATGAAACATTTTTACTCCCTAAAGATTCAAGTAGGACTGATATTCTTAAATAATATCTTAATGATAGTCTCCATAATAATAATATTCCTAATGAAGTTCTACAGTGAATTTAGGTTCAGGGTCTTTTTTGATAGTAATTAAAGTTTGTTCTGAATATTACTTTCACAGAGTAGAACTGCCCTACTGTCAGTCTGAGAGCACTTAAGCACTATCACTGAGCTTGCCATAATCCATAAACTAAAAGCCACACACCACCCTTCTACCAGAGAGGTGTCACTATCACAATGAATCCTCTTCCTACTCATCACATTCATCAAAGAACTATAATTCCAGTAGCACTTAAAGTCAGATTTGACTGGCTCTCTTACTCTGGTTCTTAATACTGGTACATCTTGTTGGCTATCAGCATTTGTTAGTACTTGCTCTTAGAAAATCATGTAATTTATTTTAATTATTATGACTTAGTACTATCCACTACACACTTGAAATAAGTGTTATTAAAGAGGTCATGTCATGTCACTTAGAACCAGTTCTCACATACAGCACCAAATAAATGAGATACTTACCTTGGTCTCTGCCTTCTCTTCAGTAACCAGGGCATCCATCCCCAACCGCTGTCTTAACTCCTGGTTCTCAACTACAAGGCCATGAGTTTTCTCTCGTAAAAGCTGATTTTCTAGCAAAAGTTTTTGATTCTGGAAGATAGTTCGTAAGAGGCTATTAAAACATCTAATTCCACTTAAGCCACCTAGTGAAGTTTCATTACAATTGATTTCCTTTCCTTCCCCTTGACCTTTGGGAAAACTCTATGCTTATGCAGTTGTTCACAGTAGGTATTAGAAGGCAAGGTCATAATTACTAAAAATAAGATATTTAAGAAGTGCCATTTCATGGGGTCATGAATAACAGCGCCTCCAACTAACATAGACCTCAGCAAAAGGTAATTTGTGGCTTTAATTTAGAAATGATGTTTAAAAAAATTCTGTCTTCAACTGGAAGGTAATAATAAAAGTAGACCTGGGCTGGCCGAGTGGCTCAGTTGGTTAAGAGCTCACTCAAGAGGAGTTTGAGCTCTGAGCAACAGCAGTTCGATGCCCAGCCCAAGCTGAGCTGCCGCTAAACTGCCAATAGGTAGCAGGATGGCTCAGCTTAAAAAATAATAATAAATAATAAAAGTAGACCATAAAATCAAAATACGTTACAAAAAAAAAGGACAATATAATCCTTATGTATTCAAGATGTGTAACTGGCAACGGTTTAAGATTAGGTGGACCCCAGAAGGGCACCGTTATTGGACTTTTAGGCAAGCCAGGAAGGGGCTCAAGTTTAAGCAATGATTTCCTATCTGCTCTTGCTAATTTCTTAGTACTAACTTGATAAATATTGTTGTAATTCACCAACTTTGACACAGATCTAGCAACCACGTGCCAGAGGGCCAATCACTTCTCTTATCCAAGCTTCACCATTTAACCAAGTACCTATCTACCCTAACTTAGATTAAACTTTTAATTACATGTTCAATTCCATTCTAAAGGGGCTGAAACAACTTGGGATGGGCAGCAAATAGAATATTCATCAATGAAGAAAAGAGAAGACTTTGGCCTTGAGTATTTTTACCTCTTCTTCCAAATCTATCACTTGCTGTTCCAGCTCACTCATTCGAGCTTTCTTTCGGTCTCTGGCAGTCTGAGCTGCTACTCTGTTTTTCAGTTTCCTGAGAACAGAAGGGACATACCACATTGAGTCATCTCAAACCTTATTTATATCTTTATTTGAAAACTTGGCCAGCTGGTGCTTTCATAATTTACAGTATATGGTAGACTAATGGTAAAATACCCTCCAGGCTCCTCCCCTCAATAAAACAAAACAAAAAATAGAGCCTTCTTTGAATCTAGCTCGAAGACCTACTTTATTCTCTCCCATATTGCATCATCCACCTAAGTCTCATTCTGACCTCGGCACGGGGGCTGGACACAAATACAATTCATCTTGCATCATAACAAATATCCCCTTCTGCTTTCTATTCCCCCGTTGCTTCCTGACTCCATTTCCCTCAAACAGGATCCAACCTGGACTGATTAAATCCAGTGAAGGCTGCAGCAATCGCTCCTTGACATAAACCCTCCCTCCCCAAAACCAACTCAAATAAGGGAGAGGCTGGCTGACGCCCTTCGCCCTGTTGTTGAGATCCTAGGAGCCTGATGGCTGGGGCCACATCTGCTCGAGGAGGCACTTAATCACAAAAGGCACACTGAAAGAACAATACAGAGGACTAAGGACTAGGCATCAATCTCCCCGACGACCTCATGAAGTCAATACCATTTTAAGGACGCACAGACTGAAGGTTCGACTAGTGACCCTTACAGAGCTCACAGCCTGATCTTTCAACAGCTGTCATTTCAGCTGTCCCTCCAAAAAAGTAGGTAAACCTAGAAGAGGCTAGTAGGCTTCAAGTTCAGAATAGCTGAACGACCGGTCTGCGGTCACACAGCAAAATGGCCTGGAATCCAGGTGCTTGCATACCCAGCTTTAGTCATCTTTAATGAGCTAGAAAAGGAAATAAAAAAGGCCAAAGCAGCCCTGGACTCTACCCAGCGCAGTGGATCTGGTTAGTCCAGACTTCCTGCCCTGCCCCGTCCCGCCCTCGCCACGCTGGCACCGGACCGGCTAGGCCAAAGGCGCCCGAGCACTGCCGGATCCGAACCCAGACCTTTGTCCGGGTTCGGATCCGATCCCGGATCCCGGCCCTCGCCCACCTCCGCAGAGCCTTCTCCTCGGGGCTCAGGTGTGTGAGGCGCTGTCGCTTGCGCGCTTGGGGCGGCCCCCCGCTCTCTGCCTCGGGGCTGGCCCCTCGCTGGCCCGGCAACATGAGAGGCAGAGCCCGGCCGGCCGGAGCTCCGGCGGCGGCGGCGGCGGCAGGCTTGCCGGACAGAAGCAGCACTTTGGGGGCCCCGGCGGCCGGGCTCTGCGCGGGTGCCACCACCACCATGGCCTGAGAGTGTCTACGCGAGTGCGTCCGCCGCCTCCCAGCCGCTTGGCCCCGCCGCGCCCGGCCTTTCTACGGTCGTGGCCTCCCTCGATTGGCCAGAGCCTCATGACGCGCGGCCGATCTCTGCGCCTATTGGTCGCGAGGGCGGAGCCAAGGCGTCCAGCGTGGCGGCGGCTGTTCCCCGCAGTGTGCGGAGGCATTTTTTCCGGAGGGCGACCCGCGGGACCCGGACCTGGGTGGGTGCGCAGTGCGGAGGTCCGGCTGAGCCCTTGGCTCCTAAGGAAGGCTCCAGAGTCAGGTGGAGTTTCCTCAACAAACGAATTTCCTCCCTTGGCTGACGCATCTTCACCCGGAATGATTTAATTCCAAACCGAGGAATTTCCAGACTGACGATTTTTACCGAGACTACCAGATGTTTACCTTTGCCTGGCAGATTTTATGTCGTGCGCCACTTCGGGCCCCGAGTGGAGCGAAAAGTCGAGAGAGAGAGCCGAATCGGGACTTGGGTTAGAAAAATGTCTGCAAAGAAATTCCGCGAAGTAGGAGTCTAGGAAATGAGATCGCGCATTTTAAAGCTCATAGTGAGGGCTTCAAACAATTGGTGTAGAACTATATAGTCATTTAATTTTTCTTTGCATTTCTAAGCTTTCTATTATGAACGTATGCTATGATTTTTTTTAATGGGGGTGGGGGCGTGGTGGGAATATTTCACGTGTAAAAACGAGGGGCTGTTCAAAGCTCCTGCACGGCCATTGCGACGCAAGGGAGGACCCAGCGCTGGTGAAACAGGGTCCTTCCTCCGAAGCAAGGGAGCAATTTAGACATGCGAATATTAAAATGGAGAAACCCGAGAAAATCCCCCACACGTACGTTAACTTTTTAAAAGCAAATTAACAAAATGTTAAGTTCCCTGGAATCACAAGGCCGTACTTCTTTAATAAGTAGTTACTGCCTCCTCTGTACTCAGCACTACTCTAGGGATGCAAAAATTATTAAAACTCGCGGCCTATGGTCAGAAGATATGCAAAAAGTGAAGATAGAATGGTTCTAGGCAATTCTTTGGTGTTAATAAGTCAGATTAGCTCTTCATTATATTTTGCAGGGAAGGCAAGAGGATGGGAAGAAGGAACTAAAGCAATTCAGTCTTGATATGCAAGGCTTTTAAATAGGGCACAGTTTCTGTTACTCCCAAACTGAGCCATGAGTCTCCTAACATATTTTCTTCCTCCAAATTGGCAGTGAAATCAGTGACAATTTATTTAAAGTGAGCTGGCCCAACACAGGGCATCCTGAGCTTCTGTGGACTAGAAAAAGAGGTGGAGGTGATCAGAGATCCTGCAGAGCAAAGAAACCTGCTTTCTTTGTAACTCATCAGTTTTGGCTATTGGGGTCCTAATGTTCCTCCAGGGATGGGAGATTCACTCCTGGCCTCAGAGCTTTTGGGAGAAGTCTTTGGATTGACTTCTGATTGAGAAGCACACGTTTATGTTAAAGGACCTTGGAAAGTTGAAAGTTGTAAGAGTTTCTGAGAAAAGTCATGTAATTGTCATGCAATCTTTTATTTATTAAGTTAACATTGGTGAACTCCAAGAGAATGTCTGTCACTCTGTAAGACATCCCAGTGAAACTAAAAGAAATTTAAATCATTTAGGCACAAAAAGAAACCGCTTGAGGCCCCTATTAGTCCAGCAGGGTATCAATGAGTAACCATGTGAGGAAGGCACGGGTTAGAGAAAAGGTGGATGGGTTGCATTTTGGTCTTGGCTAATGGGGTAGAAATGGAATGTTGAAATTGACTCCCCCAGTTTTGTTTTCAAGGCTTTTATCTTTTTGATACAATTTAAAATCATACCGAAAAAGAGTAAATTGACCCAGTGCCGATCGCTATCCATGAGGTTTCGCACACTCAAGTCCAAACCTTTGAACAGTTTAATAACGTGTCTGTAAGATGAATCTGATTAATTCTTGCATCAGATGCCATTACTATTTTAAAACATTTACTAGGCACTTGTGATTAAGAGCTGTAAAATATATAAAATACAAAGTTCTTAGTCTTTGTGAAATGCAAGAAACAGTGATGAGAAGCAGTAGATCTGTCTGTTTAGTTAGATCCAAGTCTAAATAAATGTCAATGTAAAAAAAAAACAAAACCCAGTAACAAAAATTCAAAACCACTAGTATGGTAGCCACTAACCATATGTGGCTATTGAGCACTTGAAATGTGGCTAATATGAATTAAAATGTACTGTAAGCATGAAATATATACTAGGTTTGAAGACTTAGTATGAAAAAAAGGAATGTAAAGTATCTTATTGATCATTTTTATATTGATTATATGTTGAAATGATAGTATGAGTTAAACTGATTTTTAAAGTAATCTCACCTGTTTCTTTTTTAAGTGGCTACTAGAAAATTTTAAATTGCACAAGTGGCTTCATTGTATTTCTATTGGATAGCCCTGGTCTAGATGATTTCAAGTGGGAGATGGCACAGGTAAAGAGAGAGAAGAAAGGGAAATAAAAGTGTGCTAAGGTTCCTGCCTTGTTCAGGAAAAATGTATGTATAATGATTAACCCTAGACACCATTAGAATAAGTAGGTGTGTTAAAAGTGATTTTACAATTAAGATGCATGTTTCCCTAAGGATAAGACTTTCCAAGCCACATGTGGGTAGATGGATAAAATCTCTTTTTCAAGATTTTCTCTGCCTGACAATGGTGCTTCTGAGGCAAGTTTTCTTTCCCCGCACCTCGCTTTTTCACAGTCACCATTCTTGCACTCTGCAAAGGGGAGACCCTCTTTTCACTCATGCTTAATCTTCCCAAGGTGCATTACCCAAAGGTAGAAAAACCTCTGAGGCTCCAAACAGAGGCCAGTCTAGCTATTGGTGATGGTATTAAGAAAGGAAATGTCCCTCATCACCGAGTATCAAATCCCTTTCCAACTCCATCAGTTGTAATTCTTTGTTTTCAGTAAAATTGATGGAAGACAAAATTGAATTGTCAACTGAGAGTTCAATACAATAATTTTGGATGATGAATCACAATGTGACTTGGCTGCTAACTCAAAAGCAGTTCAAACAATTGAAGGACATTGTTAAAATACAATGCCTTCCATCCCCATTCACTTAGTTACGTGAACAATGGTTTGGGGCACTTAACTTTTTTTTTTTAATGGAAAAAAAAAATAGGTGCCAAATCCTGTCTCATTCTAGCAATAAATACTATTAATCTATTCATACATGAATCCAAAGATACATTTCCAATATAATTTTACTTTCTATATTTAATAATTATCAAAATTTGGAATTAGTTTGATAAATGTTATAAAATTTGTACTGATTTTAATTTAACCATAGCTCCATGCAGAATTTTTTAGTTTTTTATTTTATTGGAGAACAGCCATGGTCATTGGTTACACATTGCTTTCATGCTATAATGGCCTAGTTGACTATTCTAGGGAGGGTGCAGCTCACAGTGGCCCATGCAGGGATCGAACTGGCAACCTTGGTGGTATGAGCACCACGCTCTAACCAACTGAGCTAAACAGTCACCCCCATGTAGAATTATTTTTATGGCAAGAAGAAAGTTTTTAAATACTTCAATGTATATACTTTGTTTTGTGTTTTTGCAGGGTTACCTATTAGATAATCAACAACAGACTTTTAAGAATAAAGCTATATTACATTAGCAAAAGTCTGCAGAGAAAGTAGAATAGAAATATAAATTAAAAGAGAAAGACAAATGAGGTAAAATTACAGTTTCTTAAAAAAGCTTGTTGGTACATTTTTTTAACTTTGATTTTGTTATGATTTCAAACTTACAGAAAAGGTGCAAGAATAGCATAAAGAGTGAGGTATATAAATGTCTAATTACTATGTTGTTTTGTACACCTGAAAGTAATAAGAAATAAAATTCTTCTTCCAGAATATGGAGGCACCAAACTAGTTCTAGACAACAAGAATTATTTCTTATTCAGAGATGCTGACATTCTTGGAAAGTATAAGACTGAAATAAATCACTATTGAATTGGCATCACGTGAAGCTGCCCATTCCACTGAAATTCTGAAATATCATGTAAATAATTTCCTTTCCATAATTTTTTTTTTTTTTTAGCTGAGCCATCCTGCTACCTGTTGGCAGCTCAGTGACTGCTCAGCTCGGGCCGGGACTCGAACCACTGTTGCTCAGAGCTCAAACTCTTGAGCGAGCTCTTAACCAACTGAGCCACTCGGCCGGCCCCATGTAAATAATTTCCATGTCTCTCTTTCGTAATAAACTAATGATATCCAAACTAAAAAAAAAAAAAGAGTATAAAGAGTTCCTACATTTTTCTTTTTTTTTTAAGGTTTAAGCAGTACAGTTTTATTGTAAAGCACAAGAGAACAGCTCTTCGAAGAGAGAGTGTATCCGAAAATGGAATGCCCCCGTGTTCCTACATACTCAACTCAGACTCCTCACTCAGACTTTCCATTAGTTTTTTACTGTTTGCCTTATCAATCTTTCTTTCTCTGTATGTACCATATTTTGCCATGTATAATACACACTTTTTTGCCCAAATTTGTGAGGGAAAAATGAGGATGCACATTATACATGGGTAGTACTAATCCTGTATCTATATAAATGTTTTTAATTTATTTATGCTTGTGAGTTAAAAGTGTAACTTTATAAATCAATAACGATATCTGTATGCAAAATAATACCCTGGAATATGATAATCGGTTTTATTGAACTGAACCACGAACTTGAGGAGGAGTTCTTGGCCTTCTATGATGCATAAATATAGATTTTTTTGTTACCAGCACATAAAATTTCTTGTACCTTGTATGTGTTCTTGTGTTTTGTAATTATTTGTTACATAAAATTAATTGTACCATAGTATGTTAAAAAATAAATGCTGA